ACGCTCCTAACAACAAGACTGCTTGTTCCATGGTGTGCTACTCCCGCTGGCAACTAAGACTGAACTCAGCACCTTGAGCTGAGCTGCCACCTGGATGGCTCAGTGGATAGAGCGTGCACTCTTAACAACAAAGCTGCTGGTTCAACTCCCGCATGGGATGGTGGCTATGCCCACCCGCAACTAAGATTGAACACAGCACCTTGAGCTTAGAGGCCACAAGCTGCTGTTGGGCAGCCAGATGGCAACTGGCGCCCTCCACAACTAAAATTGAAGAATGACAACTTGGCTGGTCTTCTTCCCCAATTCCCCAACACTGTTCCCCTCTCCCAACTCCCCAATTTTTAAAAAAAAAATTCTCCTCTCATGAGAACTTTATCTTAAATTAGGTTAAAGCTTAATAGGAAGACCTATTATTAATAACTTTAATTAGGTTCATTGGGAAAGATAAACCAATATTTCAAATATGAGACAGTCGAGTTTTGGGGTAATGCTTTGTTACCTTTTACTTTGAAAAACATAGAAAAAAGTTGCAAAAATAGTATAGTGAGCTCCCTTTACCTAGTTTTACCAATTATTAACAGATAATAAATACTGTCTTTGTGTTCGTGTGTGTATGTGTTTTAAGTGTATTCATAACACCAGGAGTTTGAGATAATGTCTATTGAAAGAAATGTTCTGACTCTTAAAAAAGACAATGAAGACTATTTTACTGCATAATATTTATTCTTTTAGTATTGACACATTACTCAAGGACATCTGAAGGGTAATGCATTTTTTTAAAAAAACATAAAGAAAAATGGTAGGTTTTAATGAGTTGAATTTCCCACCAAATTACAAAAATTCTGTTTTTATGAAAATCTAGAGAGAAGTTTATTATTACCAAAATAGAATTGATGACATATATTATTTCGCTTCTAAACTGAGCTCCCAGTATAATGGATTGCAGACAAGTTCATACTTTTTAAAAATTTCCCTTGATTTAGGCATATCTATAGTAGATAATAGCATTTTATAGGAATTCAAGAGAAACATGGTAAGTATTTCAGTGAAGTCTTATAGAGTTAAGACAAAACTTACATGAAGTGTAAAATCTTGGACAGGGCACACTTACAGACAACTAATGAGAATAATGATTATCAGGTAAGCAAGGAATATATTCTTCAGTCGGTTTCATAAGATATTATACATTAATGAGAGATCACTTCCACTTTATTACTTAAAGTATATAATTGCAAGGGTATTTATTCTCTTTGACCTCTTTTCCAAAGCACACTTACTTCTTTATACTTCTTAAACTGTGTAATTATCCAGTTTGTTTTTAACATGTGATCCCCTTCAACTCATGGTCTCCAGTCTTAGGCATAAACCAGTGCTTTACATAATCGTATCTGGTGTCATTGTATTGTAGAGAGGCAGTGTAGTAGTGTGGGGAAAAGCATGGACCCTGGAGTCAGAGTTCCAGGTCTGCATACAGACTTTCCCACTCATCTTGAGTGAATTACTAAACTTCTCTGTGCCTCAGTTTCTTCGTCTGTAATGTGTATAATAATAGTACCTATCTTACAGAGTTGTAACAAAGATTAAATAAGTGAATGCATAAAAGAATAAGAGTTCAGAATAACAATGAGATGCACAGAATTAGAATGCAATAAATGTTCATTGTTATTTGTCTAAACAATAAACAAAATTTTATAAATATTTATACAGTAGTCACTCATTCTAGTTACCTTATTGGGTGCCTACCCTTTGCAGGGTAGTAAAATGAATAAAACATATCCCCATGTTTAAGGAGTTCATGGTTTAGTGAAGAGGTTGAATCGCAAATAATTGCAATAAAAGTGCCTAATATAAGTAGTACTACTGTGGGATCACTGAGGCAGGAGTAACTAACTGTCTAGGGAAGTTAGAAAAATTCATATGGGAGTTAGCTGTATAGGGGTTTATCCTACTTTCTGGTGTGTGTGTGTGTGTGTGTGTGTTCTTTATTATGAAAGACAAATGGTGAGGAACTGTTCAGATTAAAAGAGAAAATAGAAACATGACAGCTAAGTGCAACACTGACTGGATACTGTATTGGAGGGGCAGTTGCCCTAAAGGACATGATTGGGATATTGACAAAATTGGATATGCATTGGTAATTAGATAATAGAATTTTACCAGGGTTAAAAATATCCAGACGTTGATTGCTATATTGTGAAAGAATATCTTTGTTCTAAGACTTGCTGCTAAAATAATAAAGGAGTAAAGGGGAATGATACTATTTGAGAGTAATTGATGATACATTTGAGTTTTCCTCGTATTCCAAAAACAATCTCAGAACCATTCAGCACTGTTTTCTCTTCTTCAGCAAGGAAATGAAAAGATAGTATCCCAAACTACTCTCAGATAGTTCAGGGGAAAAAATGGTGCATATACACTTACACACAAAATGTTGAAATACATGTGGCAAAATGTTAAAAATTGGAGATTCAGAGTATCAGGAGTTATATGTATTATTTTTACAGCTTTTCTATAAATTTGATATTATTTCAAAAGGAAAATTTTAAGAGGTTGGGTAAAGGGAAGAGCTTCATAGGGAGGAGGCATTTCAATTGTATCATAGAGGTTAAATTCACTAGATGGATAAGGAGGGCCAGAGGCAGACATGTAGAAAGCCATTGAGGTGTGAAAGAACATGAAAATAATTTGCAAGTAGTTCAGTGTGGTAATTTCTGTGTCAATATAAGATGTGTAGAAAATATTCTTTCTAAATGTCTGTAGGGAATTAGCTTGGATTTTTTTTTTTTTAAGATTTTATTGGGGAATTGGGGGAGGGGAACAGTGTTGAGGAATCGGGGAAGGGGAACAGACAAGTTTCTGTCCTTTTGTTCTTCAGTCTAGTTGTGGAGGACGTCGCTTCACTGGCCCATGTTCGTATTATCATTGCCCTCTTCCTGGTTGAGGCATATTGGTCTCCGGCCTTTGGATAACCGCTCACGGCAGCTCTTGGCAGCTCACGCTGGCTGCCGGCCGCTCACACTGGCTGCTGGCCACACACGGTAGCTTATGGCAACCCACTGCAGCAGGGGCTGCAGCCTATGCCGTTGCCAGCAACTCACGGCAGCCCAGCTCCCACTTGAGCTGTTGTTCACCATCTTAGCTGTAAAGGGCAGTGTCACTGGCCCTCATGTGGGATCCGAACTGGGGCCCTGCTGCTCAGAGCTGGCGTCCCAAGCCAGCTTTTAACCAACGCGCCACTCAGCCGGCCCAAGCTTGGATATTTATTAATCTGATGTTTATTCATTCTTACTGCTAAAAAGCAGCAAATGTTTAGCAAATTACTGGACTAAGGTTATACCAAACAGAGCCATTGTTTTATATACTGATATCACCAAAAAATCCTATGCTTTAAGTAGCCTGAAGTTTTCTTTCTTTGATGGCCTGTAATTATTACATGGATATTTAGAAATTATGACATGGCCATTTATGTGGAGGAGTTTGAGCATCCTGAAGACCAGCTAGACTGTAGAAATTTAACATCCTCATACACCTAAATTGAAAACAGTTCTCATTTTGGTAGAATCTCATTATTAGTGATACTTTGGAAATTTGAATCAACAAAAGCAATAAGAATAAAAAACCTGTAATTAGTATTTTATATCAACAACACCCATATTCACTAAGGAAATAGAGTGGAGCTGAGAAGAATCTTTGTATAAGAAATCTTTAAAACAGCATAGTAAGTGATTTGGAATAACTTTTACCTTTAGAAGTCAGAATGATCAAGTGCTGATCCTTTTTTAAACTTCCAGTATTTTATAGTTTTTTCCTTCATCCTTTCAATTTTTTATTTCTTAATCTTGAGATTAAGGTTTTCTAATGATAGTCACTGAAATTATTTATATTGCATATCTTTTGATAGCAAGACTTCTGCAGGTCTCTTGAAAAATATCAGATAGCTCTGTGCTCCATATAGAGAATAATTTCTAGAACATAGAAATGAGAGGTAATGGACCTAGTACTCAAACAATATCCACTCAGTTCTTTGAGAAGGAAGAGGAGCCATTGCTGAATGGTTTTCCAGTTGTTCTTGGAATACGTGTATAAGGAAAATTTGTCACAATATTTCTAGTAAGATAGTTTAAGATCATGAAATATATTTAAATTTTTAAAAATTTTTTGAAAAGTGATTATAGTTTTTCTATATTCTTGCATAAATATATATTTGTATCCCTATAATCTCTCTATATATATAATGTTCCACTTTGAATTCTTCTGTCAAACAAATTAAAACATTGGAGCATCCTCCAATCTGAATTATGTATTATAAGGTAAACTTTCTTCCCTTTTGAGAGTGAGATACAAGAGAGATTTTTGGATAAATAAAGCCAGAGTTAAAAGTAATAATGCAGTTTATAAATCTTATTTCTAAGGATTAATAAGTAGAATATTAATTTCCTTGGTTTCTTGATATTTACTAGAATGGTTGAATTTTATGTTATAAAAAATAGCAGTTGAATCCTTTGTGAGGTGCTGTTTTCAGAAAAGTTTTGATGGATTGAAGTGCTAAAGTTAGCAACTTGATTATATTGTATAACAGAGATACTCAAGCTTTTAGAAATCTCTAAAACAAGAATTTAATTATTAGATAATATGAAATAATTTGCACATATTTATCTTATTTTCTCTATAATTAACTAATAAATAGAAGTTACTTTTAAGGTTCATGTTTTGAAGTATATTTATATATCTGGAAAATGTTAACTTGGTTATCACACTTGCTTCATTTTCTGATTGCTTTGGTAATAGGGCTTTGTATCTGGGCTGTATTTACATATGTAGAAAGAGGGTTGGTTTAAGAGCTCAGGAGGTATGCATAACTATATGAAATTATAGCTGTTTTTATTAAGTATATTTAAAATTCACCTAGAACTTGTAATATTTGTTTCTGTTCCTCTAGTTGCGAAAAAGGGAAAGAATTGAACAGTGCAGGTTTAATTTTTCCTTTTGGTTTTTCTTAGCAATTGAAAGCATGTAGTGAAGAAGAAGACGACAAAGAATGTTTGAACCAAGCTATTACTGCTCTCATGAATCTCCAAGGTAGTATGGACCGAATTTACAAGCAGTATTCACCTCGACGCCGACCTGGGTAATTGCAAACTGTTGAAAATATGAATGCTTCTGCATACTTTATTTACAGCTGATGCCTGGTTTTCTCAAGAAGTGTTACTTACAGTGATAGTGCATTTTTAAAAGTTATACTTTTGTTTTACATTTTTCTTTTGCTCTTTTCGTCTTTTAAAGTTGGCATTTTCATATTGTTGAAATATGTGTAATAAATATTTTGTATAATTTATATGAAAACTTTGGATTATTTATAATTTTAATTCTGTGGCAAAAGAAATGAAATATAGAGTCTAGTGCTTCTCTTTCACAATAATGAAATTGAAGCATGTATTTAGTGGTAAAATTAGTAGAAGAAAGTAAATCCTGTGTGCAAAATCTAGTGTTTGGTTATTTAATATTTTTGTCACTTGATTTGAGGCAGCTTACACTTAAAGCAATTAGGGTTGCTTAGCCATTGAATAAGCTAAAATTGTCTTGGTATTTTTTTTTAGGGATCCTGTTTGCCCTTTTTATAATCGCCAATTAAGAAGCAAGCACCTGGCTATTAAAAAAATGAATGAAATTCAGAAAAACATAGATGGATGGGAAGGCAAAGATATTGGACAATGTTGTAATGAATTTATTATGGAAGGTCCATTGACAAGAATTGGTGCTAAACATGAACGGCATATTTTTCTCTTTGATGGCTTAATGATTAGTTGTAAACCCAATCATAGCCAGACACGCCTTCCAGGTTACAGTAGTGCCGAATACAGATTAAAAGAAAAATTTGTCATGAGAAAAATACAAATATTTGACAAGGAAGATACTTGTGAGTACAAACATGCTTTTGAATTAGTATCCAAAGATGAAAACAGCATAATATTTGCTGCTAAGTCTGCTGAAGAGAAAAATAATTGGATGGCAGCACTTATTTCTCTTCATTATCGTAGTACTCTAGATCGAATGTTAGATTCAGTATTATTGAAAGAAGAAAATGAGCAACCACTGAGATTACCAAGTCCTGAAGTATATCGTTTTGTGGTAAAAGACTCTGAGGAAAACATTGTTTTTGAAGACAACTTGCAAAGTAGAAGTGCAATCCCCATTATTAAAGGAGGAACTGTGGTGAAATTAATTGAAAGGTTAACATATCATATGTATGCAGGTATGTGAAACTCATTACAAGTTATTATCTAGGGCCAAGGATCTAAAAGCTTTTCAAGAATGTTCAAAAATGTTTGAGGCCTGGATATAATGGATTGTCTCTAAAATATAAAAAGAATACTTCAGAATCAAAAGGAATAAGTAACTAATTAAACGTCTATAAAATATAATATTGTTAACTTCATTAATTATTAAATATTCATAAAAATTGTATATTCATGAACCTTGAATTCGAAAACAATCCTCATTTCTCAAGAAATACCATGGTTGGCAGGAAGAGCCACAGTGGGAAGAGCCAGAATAAAAAGAAAAAGGAAGTAAGGCCTCCAAAATATGCTGAATAAATTGAATATGCAACCTGTTTTATGCTCTACCTTTTCAGATCCCAATTTTGTTCGTACTTTTCTTACTACATATCGTTCATTTTGTAAACCACAGGAATTGCTAAGCTTATTGATTGAAAGGTAAGAAAAATATTTATTTTACTTACATTAACACTTGGTAAAAAGTTAACTACTTTTAACTTGTAGAGTACTAGGTAGCTAGTATGTATTCAAGTAGTTTTTTAACATAACTTATTTGGCATTCAATTAGCAATATTTCTATTCTCTTTAAACAGTGTGCTTAATGAAACCCCTGTTTATAACAGAGGTCTTTTTAGTTCTTAGCAGTATTTATAGTGGTAATCAGAATGACCCAATTTTAGAGGATAAAAAAGACATGTATCCTAATGAAATATTTTCTGTACAATGTAACAATAGTTCCTTAAAAGAGACTGTTTTACTTTTCACTTTTAAAACAAACTTTTTATTATGGAAACTTTCAAAACACATACAAGAGTAAATAGAAAAATATAATGACCACATTTATCAATCATCCAACTTCATCAATTATCAACTCATGCGTCTGTTTTCCTACCAACTTCCAAATCCTAACCCCAGGATTACATTGGCCTTCTTTATCCGAGGATTCCTTATCCTTATTTGTAGCCATATCCAAAGATATGGAGGGCTGACTAAGGGACTCCAGCATCAGTGGATTTTGACATCCATTGGGGTCCTGGAACCAATCCCCCATGGATACCAAGGGACAACTGTATTTTGATGTAAATCCTAGACAATGTATTTGATCTGTAAATATTTTCATTTGTATTTCTAAAAGATAAGTACTCTTCTTAAAAACAATATTATTATTAGACCTAAAAAATAAACAGTTTCTTTATTATGATTAATTTTAAAAGGTAAGTTTTAGATTGAATTTTTCTCTTTTACTGAGTTTATTATGGCACTTTTATGCTTTATGTAGGTTAAAATATAGTATCCAAACTCCAAAATAATTTTTGTTTCACATTTAAAAACTTAATACCAGAATTTTATCTTGACTTCTATCAGTGTGTTGTTCTATGAAACTAAGTTTACTAGACTGAGTCAGTATAATGAGCTGTGAATATTTGCTCAGTTGTATTTCCATGTCCAAAATAAGGAAGGCACATGTTAGACTTATATTTTAGCTATATTTCCTAAGGTTGGGCAATGTTTGTTTGTTTGTTTGTTTTTAACTTTGAGTTCTACCTTATCCACTTAATAAGTTTTTAAATATTGTTTAAAATTCAATTTGGGCCTTCTGTTTGCATTTATATTCATTAATTTAAGGAAATTTATGTCTACCTTTATTTTTTTTTAAATATTAAGGATAGATTATTAGATAAGCCATCTCTGTTATGTGTTTTAAAGAGGTTAAACTCCTTAAAGATTCTTTTCTTGGATCTTTTCCATTGACCTTTTTTATAAGTACTAGTTATTAAACTTTTTTGATAAAAGTTGATATATAAAACCTTAGTACTATATAACCAAAGGGCATGTTTTTGTAGTACATAATGCTTTAAGGAAAGTTTATCAGTAATTGTACTTTTCACATGGTAGGAAAGAAGGTTGCTTAGTTAAAATATTTTTCCTGCTGTATTTGAAATCCTTTTTACTTATGTATGAACAATGAAAATTTTCTCTTATTTTGCTTTTCTTCTTAGATTTGAAATTCCAGAGCCAGAACCTACTGAAGCAGATAAATTGGCAGTAGAGAAAGGCGAGCAGCCAATTAGTGCAGACCTTAAAAGGTTTCGCAAGGAATATGTCCAACCAGTACAACTTAGGTTTGGCTTGAATATTATATTTTTTATGTGCCATTCAATTTTCAATATATAGTTAGCACAAAAGTTCTTACCTCTTAATTCATGTATAGGTATTATTGTTAACTTCATAGCAGTTAAGTTAAACTTCCAAAGTTCTTTGTATGTGAAACTACTTTTAAATATGCTGAAGTATTTTAATTATTAAAATATAATGTGTTATTTGCATGAGATATCTCTGGCATGGGACGTATTATGCTTACAGACCAGGATACCTATTAAGTAAAAATTATAAAAGTGCATATGAATTTGTCTACTGTCAACTCCCTCCCTTTTTCATTCATGTCTCATTGTGATCATCTAGTAATTTGGGGCTTTTTTACAGCTTATAATATTTATAAGGTATGATTAAAAAAACACAGTGAATGTTTAAATAAAAAGTTTATTACAGTAAGAGACATATTGCCATTAATCCCACTCAAAATACTCCCCTTAGCTACAAACACACTTATCCCATAATTCTTGCCACTTTCTGAAGTAGTTCTGGAAATACGTGAATGCCTTTAGTGGCGCTATCATGGCTGCCTCAATGTTCTGAATCAAATCAAAACGTTTACCTTTCATGGTCATTTTGACTTTGGAGAAGAGCCAGAAGTCGTAGGATGCCAGATCTGGTGAATAAGGTGGATAAGGACACACCATAATGTTTTTATTTGACAGAAATTGTCGTACCAGAAGTAATGTGTGACACGGAGCCCTTCTTTTGTGATCACAAAATACGGTGAATGCTGCTGCTGAGTGCCAGCCAATGGAAAGGCAGGGATCTTCAATAAGGGATGTGACACATCAAACCTTAGTAACAGTATATGACAAGTTTCAACTTGTTCGGTGCAGTCAGTCAGGTGTGAGCTACAGTTGAGAAAAGGTGTGTTTTAAAGTGTGCCTTAAATCATCCTCCTTCATGACAACACTGTGACACACATCACTTCTGGTATGTGGCAGTTTCTGTCAAATAAAAACATGATGTGTCGTCCTTCACCTTATTCACCAGATCTGACACCGTGCAACTTCTGGCTCTTCCCCAAAGTCAAAATTATTCAGGACATTGAGGCAGCCCTGACAGCGCCACTAAAGACACTCACAAAAGAGAACTTTCCAGAACTGCTTCAGAAAGTGGCAAGAACAGTGAGATAAGTGTGTTTGAAGCAAGGGGGAGTATTTTGAGGGGGATTAGTGGCAATGTGTCTTTTACTATAACAAGTTTTTTTACTTAAACATTCACCCTATTGGTTGATTATACCTTGTATGGAAGTTGAAGCTTTTTACCCACTCTTCTCCCACAGAATGAATCAATATTCGTTACTTTATCTAAAAAAATAATTTCAGTAATTTCTAAAAATATATTTGATAATAGCTCCTGCCAGTTATTAGGTACTTACTGTGTGCCTAAATGCTTTATCTTTTTTATCTCATCCTCATAGCACAATTACTATTTCTACTTTATATAAGAGGAAAGTGAAACTTAGCAGGATAAAGTAATTTGAGATATGTCATATAAAGTGGCAGGACAGGATTCAAACCCATAGCTGTCTTGACTCCCTAAACCTGTGTTGTTGTTTTTTTACCACTGAACATTAGAAATTGGAAGCTTCTTTGATTAGCCTTCTTTACAGTCCAGGTGAAAACCAAAGGATTACTACCCGTTTACGTGGGAAAACTGGCATATTTTATTAATTGTATATGATCTAAATATTTTTTTGTCTGTAAATGTTAAGGTTCCTTGACCAATAAATTGCAACTTTGGAACAGAGAATATTATTTATTTTCCAGGATAATTGCCACAAATAAATGCAGTTTTATATGTCTCTCACTTTTACTATGTCATTAGTTATATAAGAAGATAAGAGTATTTACCCATAAGCAATAAAGAAGCAATTAATTTTTTTCTACTAGCTATGATGCATTTGTAGTTATGCACACTCAGATTAAGCCCCTTGACATGAGGTACAATATGAGGTTGCTATATAGGGGCAGAATATAATCTTAGACTCTCAGTTATATGTAGTCTTCTCTTTTTTTTTGTTGTTTTTTTTGGTTTTTTTAGTGGTCATAACTGCACTTATTTTTTAAATTTATTTTTTTAATTTTTTAGTTACAGTTGACATACAATATTATATTAGTTTCAGGTGTACAACATAATGATTAGCCGTGTACATTCTTTAAGTATTTATTTCTGAGCATATTTCTGTGCTTGTAACTATGGTGAGTAGAGAAATAACATAGAATATCATCTTTGCCACCTGGATATTATGATTTTATTGGGGAAAAAGGATACATTAAATAGTTATGCATTATTCTACTTTAAGTGTTTTAGTGGCTTAGAAAAATACATCCCTATACAGTTTCAGGAATAGCTAACATAAGGGTGGAGTAATTAGGGAAAACATCTTGAAAGGTAAAATCTGAGATTGTCCCTAAAGGATTTAGGACTTAGATAAGCAGAATGGTGATTGTAGGTATTCAGGGTTATGGGAAATAGTATGAACAAAGGCAAGGCAGAAATGAGAATGGTAAGGAAATCGACTCACAAGGAATGAAGACATTGTATTGCAAGGAGTTGTAGATGAGGTTAGCTGTATGGAATGAGGTGGTAAGATGGCCTCAAAATTTAAGCCGAGTTGTAAAACTTGTCCTGTAAGCATTGAAGGATTTTTAGCAATGATGCAGTAGTCTACCCTTATCCATGGTTTCACAATCGGTTTCAGTTACCTGCAGTCAAGCATGGTCGGAAAATACTATGTGGAAAATTCCAGAAATGAACAATTCATGTTTTCAATTGCAAACTGTTCTGAGTAGCATGATGAAATCTCACATTGTCCCTCTTGGAACCTGAATCATTTCTTTGTCCAGCGTATCCACACTGTAGACTGTATCTGCCTGTTAGTCACTTAGTAGCTGTCTCAATTTCAAATTGACTGTCTTGATATTGCAGTGCTTGTGTTCAAGAACCCTTTATTTTACTTAATAATGATCCCAAAGCACAAGAATAGTGATGCTGGCAATTTGGATACGCCAAAGAGAAAATGTAAAGTGCTTCCTTTAAGTGAAAAGGTGAAAGTTCTTGACTTAATAAAAGAAAAAAAAATTATATGTTGAGTTTGCTAAGATCTGTGGTTAAGAACAAATCTTCCATATGTGAAATTGCCTAACTTATAAATTAAACTTTATCGTAAGTATGTATAGGAAAAAACATAATGTATGTAGGGTTTGATACTATCCAGAGTTTAGGTGTTCGTTGGGGTTCCTGGATTGTTTCCTCTGTGGATAAGGGGGGACTACTGTGAATTTTATAATGATAGTAACTTTTTTCAATATGATATTACAAAATTTTAACATACAGCAAAGTTGAAAGAATTATACAGTGAACACCCATATATTCACCACCTGGATCTATTGTTAACATTTTGCTGTATTTATTTTGTCATATTATCTATTCATTTATCATTCTTCTATTGATCCATTAACCATCTAATTTGAGGGATGTAGTTCAAGGTACACTTCTCCTTAAGTATTCAATTTGTATATCATTAACAGTATTTGTTTATTCTTTTGTTCTAAAATGTGTATACAGTGACACACGCATCTTAAGTGTACTTGGGTAAATTTTAACAAATACATACATCTCTATGATCCAAAACTCCTTTTAAGATACAAAATGTTATCATCACCAAGAAAGTTCCCTCATGCCCATTCTAATCAATTTTTGTTCTCATTACCTAAAGCAATATTCATCTTCCTACATAGATTAATTTTACTTGTTTTAGAATTTCATATAAGTGTATTCTTAAATACTCTTTTGTGGTTGACTTCTTTTACTGGACATGCTTTTGAGCAGTTCTTGCTTATATCAGTAGTTGGTTCTATTTTATTACTGAGGTGGTATTCTGCTATATGAGTATACCGCAGTTTGTTAATTTTCCCACTGAAGAACACCTGGGTTCTTTTTAGTTTTTGATTCTTATGAATAAAGCTGCTACGAATTTTATTTACAAGTTTTTTGTGAATATATTTTTTCATATAGTGTCTTGGGCAAGTAACTCAGAGTGGAATGGCCGGGTCATAGGGTAGGTGTATGTTTAATTTTGAAAGAAACTGCCAAATCTTTTCCCAAAGTAATTGTACTGTTTTACACTCTCCCAGCAATGTATGTGAGTTCCAGTTGCTCCATATACTCATCAACATTTAATGATGTCAGCCTTTATACCTTACCCATACTGGTGGGGTATATTGGTATCTTTTTGTGGTTTTAATTTGTGATTTTTTTTTATAACTAATGATGTTAAGAACCTTTTATTGTCTCTTATTGGCTAGTCATACTTTGTGAAGAATCTATTCAAATTTTCTGCCTATTTTCTGAGTTTATCTTTTATTATCAAGTTGTATTTAGCAGGATTAGATGTCTCTCTTTTGTCAGACAAATGTCTTCTCTCAATCTGTGGCCTATTTTCTTAATAATGTTTTTTGATGAGCAGAAGTTTTTAATTTTGATGAAATCTAATTATGAGATTTTTTTCTCTTACATGATAGTTTTTAAATTACATTGTATGCTGTAGAAACTACAATAGGAAGAAGAGGAACTGGAAGCAGTTATTTGAATTTACCTAGTGTAAAATAGAAGCTAACATTTTTTTTTGATCTCTTGAAATACTCTCTAAGCCACAGAGATAACCAGGCACACATGACTTCGGTGGTTTTATTACAGATAGCATGACAGAGATTGAAAATTTAAAGAATTTTCTTAGTCTGGGAGAATAACTATTGTTTTCCATTTAGGGGGGATGAAGGCTAACCTAGAAGTAGTCACTCATTGAAATAATCAAGGAAAAAATGGTAATCTAATTAATTTACAGTATAAGTGTGGAGAGTGGAATGTTATGTTTGTATAGATTGATTAAATCTGTACCTGCAAGGTTATAAGTAATTTTTTTTTTAAGATTTTTATTGGGGAACAGACAAGTTGCTGGCGTTTTTTTGTTCTTCAGTCTAGTTGTGGAGGACGTTGCTTCACTGGCCCAAGTTGGCACCATCATTG